TTGGGAGCAGCTCAAGTTGGACACTGATCCTGTGTTGGAGGGCAGGTTGAGGCCAGAGCCCTGAAGCAGTCAAGCTCTCTCGGTCTTGAGAAAAACATCCTGCCTGGTCAATTTTGGCTATTAGTCACTAGGCAATCTTGTATCACATGATACTAACTTTGCAAAGGTATCAATAAATGCTCCTACTGTTGTTGTTGTTTTTTGGAGGGGGTTGCGAGGGTCTTTTGCCAACCATGCAAGCAGACCTTCACCTGAACCCAGCCCTGTCTCTTGATTATCTTTTCCTCATTCCTGCCTCAGTTTCTCCCTGCAGTACACCAAGAGACCAACAGAGTACTACACGTAAATAACATCTTGTGGGACCTACGTGGAATTTCAGCTTTCCTCATGCAAAAGGATTTTATATCCCTGGCCTATCTAAAGCAGTGGTCAGCTAAAGGAGTCCACAGTGTTGGTTGGACTGTCAGTACCTTATCTGAATAAACCAAAAGCAGGTGTTGCCACCAGGCTCCATAGATCATTCAGAGTTGGCATTTTAAAACTAACCTTACCACCACATGCGGGTGAGCCGAGCCAGGCACCAAGACCAGGCGTAGTGCTGCATGTCTATAATCCTGGCGCTGGGGAGGTTGAAAACAAGAGGGTCACTATGAGTCCCAGCTGCGTAGTCAGACCCTGTACCAAATACATAAATTTAAAATAAAATAAGAAAACAGTGCAATGCAGAGCAGGCCGGGGACAACACGATCTTTGGTGGACACTAAGGAGGACAGACGGAACCCAGCCATTTTTCTTTCAATTGCGGACCCTCTTGCAAACGGAACTTTAAGAACACCCCTGATTTTGTCAAGTTTCTGCTTCATCTCTGTTAACCCGGGTCTGAGCAGCTCACCGGGCTCTGATTGCCTTAGCTCTTCCTCAGCGCTCAGTACTCAACCCTCCACCGTCCATCTGTGCAGCACCTTGTCCTATCTATGGCGTAAGGTCCTTGGGAGGGACTTCCTGCCGGAGGCGTCTCCTCTCACCCGGGGCCGACTACCGTGTTCTGGGGTTCAGGCTTTGTATTCCATTGGGAGCCTGGCACTTTTTGGCTCCTTCAGACTAACAGGCTTGACTTGTCTGCTAGGACTGGGGGACCTTGAGTAGGGGAAGACAGGACTGCTGTCTCATTATTTTATTATTATTATTATTATTATTATTATTATTTTGTATTTTAAGGAAGGGTCTACAGGGTGTTCAGGTCTCACTACTAG